CTTCAGCTGTGCTCCCAGGGCTGACTCATAGCTCGGCTCAGGTGAGCAATCAGATGTTCAGGCCGTGATTCAGCAGCCCCATACACTCCACCTCTTCATGGTGTGAACCAATGATCAGATTGACTAAAGGGTGACCTTTTCCTAATACAGAGATCCAAAATACCACGACACTTATACAATTTCATCACAACACATGTTGGTAAAATTCAAGATGAGTGATGATTGGTGAACGCTGATATTCTTTTATGGGCCAGTGCTCAGTGATGTTACTGGAGATATGCAGTTGTGATGTGCAGGTCCATCCTATGTTCCATCAGTCCCATGTAGACCATCACTGGGTGTTGCACGTAATCTGACATTAATACTGGAATGCTTTTGATGACATTTTGTTCCTTCTGGTGATCCTGAAGGCTCAAAGACTCAGGGGAGAAATACAGATGTTTCAAAGGTACCAAGAGGGGAAGGTCTGCTCTCCAGGGCAAGATACAGGCCGTATTTCTATCCTGGGTCAATACTTCTGCTTGTACTGGGGCACATCCTGGCCTCCTGTACCACACCTTCTGGCCAGATGTCTGCGGCTTGATAATAATACAATACAGGCACCAAAGGAGGTATCCTGATCTGCCATAAGGACATGATCAGAGTCCCTTTAGCAATGAAAATCGGAGTGTTGACCACAATATCAGTAGGCCATGTACCTATTACTGGAGGACTGCTGAGCCTCCCGCCTCCAACAATCTCCCCCAAGGTGCAAGTAGGCCACACCACTTGGGTCCTACCTGCACCTTCCAAGGCCATTTTATTCTATGGGTGCCAGAATCTAAATTATCAGGGGCAGGGAGCAGAATATTATTTTCATTGCCAATCTGGGATCTTACCTGATGATCAGTGCCCATAATTTGGATCCTAAGTGGGATGGCCCATGTTGTCTGCAATATTCTCAGGGCACTGGGTCTGCCATCTTGGAGTCTTTCATTCAGGTCCCGCAAGGTTTCATACAGTCTTTTCGTCTACCCCTGCAGGGACTGGGAGTCTGTCTTCAAGGTAGCCTTAAGAATACCGTTATAACATTCAATGAGGCCTGCCCCTGATGGATTATATGGCAGATGGAATCACCATTCAATGTTATTTTCTTCTGCCCAGCGCTGTATCGTTGCACCAGTAAAATGAGTTCCTTGGTCACTCTTGATGATTTGAGGTGTCCCTTAGGCAGACATCAGTTTAGTGAGTCCCTTGATGGTATATGCCTGGTTTGCTTTCAGCACCAAATAGGCCTGCAGTAGCCCACTTGCAGTATTGACGCAGGTCAGGGCATATCTCACCCCCTCAGACCAAGGAAGGGGTCCATTGTAATCGACCTGCCATCACTGGAGAGGATTATGTCCTCTAGCAAGATGAGCTGTTGTTTCAGGCAACGATCTCGGTCTCATCTTGGAGCAAGCATCGCAATCCCAGCATGCCTGGACGATGTCCGGTAGCTGTATGCACAGTCCCCATATTTCAGCAGCTGCCCACTTTTTTTTTTGTCCTGCATGTCGTAGCTTCTGATGTAACCAACAGGCGATGTTCTCAGATGGTGAATTCTCAATCCATCAAACTCAGGCCAGTATGTCAGCTTCATTTCCCGGTGACTGTAGGAGCTGATGACCAGAAACATGGTAGACACGTACAGTCTTGTGTTTGACTGTATTCTATATGTCTAACCACATGTCCTTGCCCCATATCGGCCGGATATCGGTGTGGATAGTCCATTCCTGGGTGGCCCACTGTGCAATCCAAAGAGTGAGTCCCCAGTACACAGCCCAACTATCTGTACAGATATTCAGGATACCATCACAGGGTTCCTTAGTTATAACCATCCATACGGCTTGCAGTTCTGCCCATTGGCTGCTCTGACCATCCCCCTCAACAAACCAGACTGTCTCAGTGGAAGGATGGTATGCTATTGCTCTCCACTTGCTCGGGTTGCCCGTTCTGGACCCATCTGTGTGCCAGGCATCTTCAGGGATAGGATATTTTCCCTCCTGAATGGGACTCTTCTCTGGTGGAGCAACCAGTACTTCTTTTGGTGCATCACTGTGATACACTACTGGGCCTAGGATCTTCTGGAGTTCTTCTTTCAAGGGTGATGAAGACAGACTACTCCTTTAGCTGAGACATGCAACCCATTGTGCCACTGTTTGTGACCCCTGTCTTAGGAAGGTGGATCAGATCTTTCATCCACCCCTGAATCATCAAAGTGATTAATCAGAGGTTCAGGCCGTGATTCAGCAGCCCCATACAATAGACTTATATACTGTAGGTCTGAATAAAACTCATTTTTTTGAATGATAATAGACATAATATTTATAGTACATTACAGGTAACTTAAAAGTTCTCATGAAAGGCCAGGGACAGACAGACCTATGAAATGATTAATAGTAACCCCTCATTCAATATTAATTAATGAAATGTGTTAATGTTAAGTATCTGAAATTCCCACTGAGTCATGCTTTTGAACATCTTAACCTTTGACATTTTTGAAATAACATATTTAGCTTATCTGTTTTGTCTTCCCACTAATAACACTTATGGATTACTGACAAAATAAAATTGTTGAAATTTGCCTGATGCTAGTGCTAAAGTTATCCAGGGGATATCTCTACAGTTTTGCTTCCTTTTAACACCCTTCCTTTTAGTATAATTTTTTTAGTAGAAATGAGATGTCAAATTCTCTGATAGTGAAAATAATGGCTTGGGCATCAGCAATTTAGCAGCAAAATTGACTTGAAGAATTCAGATGTAATGAAGATTAGTTATACTGAAAAATCACTCCAGATTTACAAGAAAGGAACAACAATAACAATAGACATTCTGCCACTGCATACATACTCTACAACAAATTGAAAAATTCTGCATTCAGTATAGACTTCTATGTCACAAAGGAGAAAATGTAAAGTTCAATAAAGATATCAGCATTTCTGTGTAAGGAATACCTAAAGAGGAATTTACAGTATAGAAAAAAATATTAATATGTTAGTATTTTATAGAGTAATAAGTGACATGGGGAGGCTTAATGTAGATTCACTTTGTTACATCATCCTAAAATGAGGGCATATGGAAATGTACAAAGTTGAAAGAGTAAAGAAGTTATAGAACACCTTACTACAAGTTGTTGTGTGGGTAGTTCTATGTATTTGAAAGCTGACTGGACAAATTTGTGAAATAAAAATACCTCTGTCACTGTTATGTATATATTCTGCAATTTTGATAATATCACTTTTGAGGCATCACTCTGTGGTATACTTAAATTAGCTTCATGGCATTCTAAAATGCCACATGACAAAAACAGCACTGAGAATAGATAATGATATGGAAGCTCAGAAGTTTAAAACTTTAGAAGAATGTACATCACTGTAATTCCCTATTGCTTCAATATTAATTTTCCCTGATATATCAATAGCATGGCAGCTAACAACTTGCACTATCGACATGCTAAACAGTGGCAAACACCAAAGCAGTTTAATTATTCTGTCAAGGATAAGGCTGCAGTAAAAGCATGCCAGGTGGGATGTTACTGTATTTCATTATGGTCTATGAACAGTGCACAACAGCAAAAACTTCAAACTAGTCCACCCATTCATCTAGAAGAAAATATATTATACCTAATCAAAGCCTACATTTTACATTCACAATTTTAATTATCAGGTGAAGACTTCAGCCTAATTATATTAAATTGCCCTTGTACTTTGTGCTTGCTGTACTTTGGTCCAAATATATTTCCCAAACAATCTTTCAAATAATAGTTAATCTAACATGACGCTCCAAAAAACATTTGCAGGAGAAATAGGCAGGTGAACAATCAAATCCATAATTTTTTCTCATAAATTTATTCCTTCAATAGTTAGAATAGAGGAAAAAATACAAGAAAAAGAAAGCACTAATTGAACTTCTAATTGTTCAGACAATTTCTTACAGATTTTTTTCATTGAAAATGGTCATTTTACTAGCCAAATCTTAAAAGCTAATTGGGCAACTTTTTAGAATGAAAGTTAATAACTATTTCTGTGTTGTTTTTTTTTCTTGATAATGACAGAAATGCTGCATGTATCTCAACAACCACAATGCTTCTGAAAACTTCAGATAGACAGAATTTGTCAAATGATATTTAAAAGAAAGAAAGAAAGAAGAGAAAGAGAGAAAGAAGAGAAAGAGAGAAAGAGAGAAAGAGAGAAAGAGAGAAAGAGAGAAAGAGAGAAAGAGAGAAAGAGAGAAAGAGAGAAAGAAAGAAAGAAAGAAAGAAAGAAAGAAAGAAAGAAAGAAAGAAAGAAAGAAAGAAAGAAAGAAAGAAAGAAAGAAAGAAAGAAAGAAAGAAAGAAAGAAAGAAAGAAAGAAAGAAAGAAAGAAAGAAAGAAAGAAAGAAAGGGAAAGAAAGGAAGAAAGGAAGAAAGGAAGAAAGGAAGAAAGGGAAAAGAAGGAAGGAAGGAAGGAAGGGAAAGGAACAAATAATAAACTTTATTAGGTATAAGTATTTAGTTCCAGAATTTTTTGTCAAGTTAAAATAAATTATTTTTCCACTCTGTTGTTCACATGCTAAAAGAATGCTTTTTATTTGTCAAAAAAAGTTATTTGGCTTTATTTTTCTTCTATTTTATGTGGATTTAAACTATTTGGTTGTCATCTATGCATCTTGTGCTAGTAGAACCTCTTTTACATTGGTAGCTCCAAAAGTAATGCCTTCTATATATTTCCGTAAAAACTACAACAGATACAAAGAGCACAATAACACTATTTGGTATAGAAAATTCTCAGCTACAAAACAATATTTTGCAACCTAGTTGTCATCAATGTTAAACTTATGTGAAACTGATTTACCCCATGTGTTTACTTACACATATATGCGTCTTTGCATATGCATACACGAAGCCAAGCAATTCATATCCCTAATCCATACAGGAAACTCACAAACTAGTCAAGAATATACACAATTTGAGGCAATATATTTTATTAAAAAACTGGCAAATGAGTACAAGTATATGGACACGGAGCAGAAACATCTTAGTTGAGAGAAAGAATAGCAGGAGAAGTTAAAGCCAGGAAAAAGTCTCCATATTAAATTATTAAAATTTCTTGCAGAAAAGTAGAATGTAAAAGTAGAATAAAAGAAGAATGTAGAAGGAAAAATATTTAATAAAGTTCATGGCTGTTAGAAACCAATCCAACCATGATCCTTTTAATCCAAAACTGTTGAAAAGCTTCTTGCTAGAAAATTAATCAATCAAAAATTCACAATGTCACAGTCTCACATAAAACTGAGCACAAGTAGTCATCTGTTCAGATAAATTCACTGTGGTAGGAACATTGCAACAATTTTCTTACTGGGAAAGCAAAAACTTGATAGAAAAGGGAATGTATGCTTCTAAAGAACTTGAATGCAAAACTTGTGTTCCTGAGCATAACCCAGAGGAAAATGCTTGGAAGAAAATGTGGATGGACTCCAAGCCAATGCAGAAAAAAATTAAAAAAAAAAAATAGACTTTCCCTTTTATTCTCTGATGAATGGTACAGCTATTTTTAACATTTAAATCTGAAGCCACATTAATAGACCATATGATATGAAAAACTAAGTTTTTAAAAAATTTTTTGTAGTGTTGTTTTCACAATGATTTATGTAGTTGGCATCAAACACAAATCCAGACTTGAGCAATTTTCTTGAGACGCATAGTGCAAAAGTGGATCAAATAACAGTTATTTATATATCTTCCCTGGCAATTAATGTTTGATGTTAATTATTATTGAGATATTTCACTTTTTGCTTATGAAAGCAAACAAACAAATAAAAAACAACAACAAACCAATCCACTACAATGCCACAATTAGATTCTAAAGTAGTAAAATAATCTGTTTTGTCGGAATAGTATTCTAGGTTGCTAAAGAGAAAATCTCCTTTCTAATCTGCTGAGAGTTAAGTTGCATCTTGAAGGCTCTGCTGATTTTATAAGCGAACATTATTTCTGTTATTTACCAAGGGTAATATATATTTTTCTATCAGCCATGTACATCATATATGCAAATATATTTTCCAGATCTTCCAGGTCCTCTCACTCTTGATAAATGCAGAGGATTTTGAACCTGGTTGTACCTCAGTGCTCTTTTCAAGCAGGGGATTTTATGAAATGCTGTTAGTTAGCAATATATCTTTGCAGAAATTACTACACATATATACACAAGCCTTTCCTATCTGTCTGTAGCTTGCTGTTATAGTCTGAATGCTGCTTATCAGGCTTTGCAAATTCTGTTCTATGGAAGAAGAGGCAAATTGGTCAAACTTCATATATGAAGATTACATGTTCTGTGTATGACATATAAGAACATCCCAGCTGTCATATGCAAGTTTGCCTTCGCTCAATATAGAATACATATGACAAATGAGGATACTGGCACTAGCTTAATTTCCCTTTTGTAACATCTGTTTGCATAATTCATGATTAAAAAAAGAGTTCAGCACTCCTGAACACTCTATACTTCTCACATCACCTCAGTTCTCTGGCACACAAAACTCTTAGTCCCTTAATCAGAGAAAATAGTGTTAAGATCCAGCAGAACTTACTTTGGGAACTGGTTCAAAAGCGTTAGTTGCTAAGCCAGAAGGAAGCAGTTCATCTTTGCTAATTTTTCTGTCCTCATTCTCTGTGGTCCCTGTGGAGGTAAATGGAAAAGAATATCTAAATATTTACATTTTAGATGTCATTTCAGAATGTAATTATTTATGTTACTATGCTTTGTTTGCTTATTTGTTTATGGGCTCTTATATTGGCAGTTGCCTGAGAATTTTGCCAAGAGCACATTTAGAAGGAACACAACCGTCACTAATCTAGATCTACGTAGCTACAAAAACTATTACTCTGTTTGCATATTTAAGTGTCACTCCCAATGCCTTGAAAATAGTTGAATCATTGATGACAAATTTTAAACTTATAAACAGTAAAAATGAGGCAGAAAGTGCAAATCAAATTTAGAACAGGCATAAAATACACGTAAAGATATTTCTTTCTTTTTCAAGGCTTTTGCACATGACCTCCTGAAATCAGTGGATTTTGCATTCATGATATTTGTATCTAACGACTTTTGCAAACAGCTGATCTCTTGTAGCATCTACAGAATCCTTTGGGATCAGAATCCAAAATACGGCCTGTGAAGATCTTGAAACAAAAAAAAGTTTGAAGAATTTTGAGTGTAAAAATTTTTCCTCCGTAAAAAGGCTCAGCCAGTTTCTAGGCAACATAGCTCTCTTAAATCCCCTTGATGCTCTTGATAGTATTCTATCAAGTGACCCTGCTAGAAGAGACTGATTAGAGTAACCACAGGCATCATAATGATTTCTGCCTGCCAGGACTGTTTGTTATTCAAGGTTTTTGCAGGAAGTCTGCTGTATAACTTAACAAGCCCCCATAAGAATCATTATCTAAGTTGATTTCCTTGGCAATTAATCTCTTTGCTTCTACAAAAGGAAGTGACTTACTGACAATGGACTTGTCCCTGTCTTCTTCAGTTCTCTGCCTGCATGTGCCTGGATGCACACAAACCCAGATAGTTTAATGCATGAGAACTTCTCTTTGAACTGCCTCTCTCAGTGACTAATGTGGGTTTATTGTCTTACCAGAGGACTCAGCAGAGGACTCAGTGGTGTCTGGCCACAGCTGTGTGCTAGGATATCTAAGCTGCAAAGATAAAGAAAGAAAATGTGCCTTAATTAATTTCTTATTGCAATTTGCCAGGCTTGCTGGCACCTGTGAAATTGTTTTGGTCACTGTAATGTCTTTCTAGAAAGTATTACATTATAAACAAAATCTGTTGCTCAGCTGAAAACCTGATTTATGGCATGCAGCTATTCTACTTTACAGCCTTGCATAGTCTATTGTACATCTTTGACAAGCAATTAGATGTTTATGAAGACACTTGTTGCTTTATAATCCTGCTAATTTCCTCATTCCCAAAAGTAACATTAACGTTTGCTAATGAACTGCAGATTAATTCACTTTGAATTAGTCTCAACCCTCCCTCTGCCCCCCATGCATACTAGATGTCAATTTTGCTTTGGGGACCTTGAAAGGATTTCTTGTTATGAGAGTAGATTTAAATGGCCTGTGCTATTATTATTTGAGAATTTAGTTTACCTTAATTTGAATTCAATTATTCTTTAATGTTCTGAATTTGAGTTGAGAGATAATGTGTTAAAAAATAAAAAGACAAATTACATAAATCAATACAAATAAATTGTATGGGCGATATGGTATGAACAGGTTGAACTGTTGCTTTTTTTTTCTAATGATGATCTAATGATAAATGATAAATTGAAACAAGCTCAATGGTCTGAGTTCATTTCATAATGATTTAAAGCAATATCACATAAGAACCAAATGCAGTATAATACATTTTCTCACATAAAGCGAATCTTATACCTGCTGATTCCATAGTGTTCTGTAATGTCTTTTTATAAGAAAGTAAAAAACAGTGATCAGCTTTTGCTCTATATATTAAAAACAACCCCACCCTGCTTATCTTACTGTTTTTCTTTAGTCTTCATCTTTGTAATATCTGAACCAGGATTCACTATCTACATAAGTACAAGCATATTTGAAAATTCATTATATAAAATACCAGTTTCTTGCTTTTGAACTCAATATCAGCTGTGAACCTAACAATGTAATCTTTGATTCACACCACATGAAAGCTTTCATTCTCTGCCAATAGCTGCTTGCTGAGGTATTCCTGCGCTCCTCTTCTTTCCTTCTCAAATGATGTGTTAAAAAATGCTAACTGGGATATATACCAACTGTTGGTTAACCAAAAGGACTAAGAAAATTCTCACAGGAGTGAGATAGGATACAATTCTTCCTCATCCATGTTGTTACTTTAATATGAATACAATGTTACCTGCTATTTCAAGGAAAGCGCCAGGCATGTTTTCATTGCACTCACTTGTTGGATACTCTCTATTTTAAAAATCAGATATGATTTTATTTGGTTCATTTTAGTTGCATCGATTAGACTAAGGTGGGTTAAATACATTTAAATAATTTAAATACATAATCTGCAAACCTGCCATAATCCCAGTGATATTCACATGCATTCTATCAAACAAAAATACATAATTAAATAAAAGCACTCATCTCAGTGATACATAAATCCAACATTTCTGCAATAGTTTAAGTTTTTTTAAGTCGCAACATGACAAGGACTTTTTGTTGGGATTTTGGTCCTCAAGGGTCAAATTTTCAAATCAACTCTGCTCTCCATTGTGAGTCAAATAATATTGCTAGTTTTTCAAACTCTCAGCCTGCAGTGGAATTCTTGGTGCTGAGTACTATTGAATATCAAACCATTGTACAGAGATTCTATAACATGTACTAAGTATTTAGGAGGTAGAAGATTTAGAAAATTTAAATCACTTTCAAAGTTTTCAATATTTATGTACGTCAAAGTGATAAAAGAGCAAGTGCTAAACTAATCACACAAATTCACATAAATATTCAGAATACATAGTTACTTTGATGATATTTTTATGGAAATAGAGAAAAATAAAATTATAATAAACAAAAAGTTGATTATATGTAGAAGACTTAATTTTCTCTGTAATAACTGATGTTTTCACCGGTTATTACATCTCAGAATAATGTGAGAGGCATCTTGCATGTAAAATGAGCTGTCTATGTCTGTATTATATGATTCTGATGGTGTTTCTTGTCCTCAGTGAGTTTCTTTTAAGTAGTTTTGCCTGAAGGGAAGATAGCCAAGCACACTGTGCAGGAGGTGATTTTACTGTGTGCCTGAAATTTGAAAAGGGTGACTCACTGTCCTTCACAGATTTTTATGGCATAATCACTCACTGGCAAGTATATGGAAAGAATTCAAAGATCTCCATTGGAAACGATAGAGATTTTCTGGATTTGAACAGGAAATATGTATACACATTTTCCTAGTTATTCAAAGGGGAGAAGTGGAAAGCTCAGAAGGAACAAGTTTCTCAGAAGTCCCAGTTCCTAACTGATGTGAATTATGTCATATTGATTATACAAAATTCTTCTGGAACTTTACAAGGGATTCTTTCATGAGATTCACGGTGTTAGACATTGTTTTTGACGCTGAAGTAATATCTGAAGTTGTTTTCAGCTCTCCAAATAGTACCAGGTTTTCATCTGGTATTTACATTGGTACAAATTTACAATGGAAAATAAACTAGTAATTCAGCTCCAACTTTTACAAATGTACACTGCCCTATTTGAACTAATTTTGGACTCAGAATTGATGTGTTTGCCCGGAAAGCAAAAGCATGTTGTTCTGAACTCACAGGCAGTGAACATGTGGTGCTGATTTGGAATACTCACTGTCACATTTATTTTTTATTTTTTGTATTTTTCCCAAATATCCTAAATGGAAAACTGCTTAACCATGTTGTATTCAAAGGGAAAAAAAAAAAAAAAAAAAAAAAAAAAAAAAAAAAAAAAAAAAGTCAGCAAATGAATCCATGGACTTTTTGAAGCTATTCTGTATCTCACTTTTCAAGGAATACTCAAGTCAATACAGACTTTTCCCTAAAGGCAGTACCTTAGTAGCTGTTTGAATTCAGTGCAGATTTACCAGCTAGGGCTTGCAAACACTGTAACAAGTAACATGATATTGCACAAAGGAGGCAGAAGCTTTTTGTTCTGTTCAGGGACAAGATTTGAAAATGATACTGAGGTGACACAATCACATGCATGTTTACAAGGATTTTCCGGAACTTTTTTTTATTTTAAATTACAACAAAGAAGATATATGTTCAGGATGAGATAGAAGAGAAAATAAGATTCTGGCAAACACTGTGTATTAAACTAGCATCTAAATAACAGTTTTATGTCTCAGATTGACTTATTTTGCTTTCAGGATGATAGGCATGTGCAAATCACATCTTCTCAAAGCAATAGATATAGTAGTAGCAGTACAATTAAATATAAGGCTTTGAGAGCAAAAGTATTTGAGTTATCAAGTCAACTAATGAGTGTCATTCCTAAAACACCATTCTAGGACATAAAATAAAACAGACTCTAGGTACTGTAGCAAAGCCACTACTTCATTCAAGAGGTCAGGTTATTCTGCTATTCATTAACATTTTGCATTCAGTGAATTATAGATTCAAGAGACTTATAAATAATAGACATTTACATTACAAAAGTAAGAAACATGATATTAACAAAATATAAGACGCTCATTCTAACTAAAAATTTAAAACACAAATGACAAAATCACATTCAGATTATAATCATAGTAATAAGTGTCCTTCTAGACAAAATAAGTGAAATATTAAAATCAGTTCTTTCTAGAACAGATATTCCTATTTTAACCAAATTTCCATTGCTAGCTCAATCTCAGACCCATCTTAAATTTCTAATTCAAATGAAAAGAGGATATATTACAAAATATAAACAACTCATAAGTAAAACATAGTTACTTTATCTAAAAGAATATACAACTAATAATCTGTATAATAAAATGTTCCAAACAGGAAGTGATCACAGAACACAACATTTGATTAGATCATTCAACCTTAACTGAGAAACTAGAAAGTGGAAGATTTAATCTAGATTTTTCCCTCTATATCTGTCTGAATTAATTATCTACTTTAATTCAGTTATGTGTTTCCTTTTAATCCTTATCAACGCTTTAAAAAAAAAATCCACATAATCATATAAACATCACATAATTTCTTTTAATCAGATACAAACTTTCTTCTAAGTCATTGTTATGACCTCAGCCTGTTCTCACACAGCCAACGTGGAAGATCCTTGTTGTCAACAGGCCTTGTTCCCTGTGACAATGGGATGGGAGTCACAGTGGGCTCTCATGGAAGCCAGGAGAGATGGGGAAGGGAATATAGGTAATAGAAAAGAGTTGGGAAATAAAAGCAAGAAGTCTTTGTGGAGAGCTAGAGAGGTTTCCACAGTGTAGCTCATGGTTTTCCATTGATCCGATGAACGCGTCCAGTCACCACAGGGGGTGAGAGAAAGCCAGGAAGCCTCACAGCAAGCAGGACCCAGAGGATTCTTTCCTAAGAGAATCCTTTCCTAAGAGAATCCTTCCTTTTCTCCTAGGGAATTCCTGTGCCAGAGAGGATTCTTTTCTTTGGAAATTCCTCTCCCAGGTACTTAGCTTAGTAGAGGCCTTTTATCCCCTGCTTCTCAGTTTCTTTTTTTTTCTTCTTCATCTTTTCTCTCTGCTAGCACAACGATCTGGACCCACAGATAAGCCAGCAGGGCATGGTGCCCTTGTTACCATGCACAAGCATTACCGCCTTTTGCAGTGGTCAGCTCCTTCTACAAGCCCCCCTCCCACCACCCAAAAAAGACTGCTTGTCCCCCAGCTTCTGCTTATATTTACAGTCATAAGCAGAAGTACTGCAGCACAGTAACACCCACCACTCTCACCCCTAGATAATTGGCAGTTGTCAGTTAGTGTCTTATCACCAAAAAATCCTCGCTAAGTGAACTTTGAGCCAAGAAAAAAAAAATAAAAGAAGGTTTCAGGAAACCGTCTTTCACAGTATCCTAGCACATTTGCCTGATAAGCAGCTCATAGTTGCTTAAATATTAAAGTCTACAGCAAATTTAAATGGCCATATATCTTGCTCAGCATCTAGCAGGTCTGTCATATCTGTCAATTTTGTAAGGAAATCATAATGCTT